AGTTCCTTGACTACAGTAGGAGGAGGGGGAGGAGGAGGAGGGGGAGGGGGAGGAGGGGAGGAGGAGGAGGGGGAGGAGGAGGAGAGGGGAGGAGGACAGGTAAGCCATTGTGGAAATAATCCAAAGGTCACGGGTTCAATCCCCGTACGGGCCAAACACACTTCATCACACACAACAAAGAATCTGACCATTAATTAATAAACAAATAACAGCTGATTATTAAAAAGGTTACATGTTGGTATGTTAATGAGGTTAACCTCAGTCTTCTCTGTTTGTATCTGTGTTCATTTATACATTTAATTATGTATGTCTGTATTTGTCTGTATATTTATCTATGTATTTATTCATTTCTGTACTTATTTATACATTTATTTTGTATTTGTTTATTTATTATACATTTATTCCTGTAATTATTTCTGCATTTATATATTTATTTTGTACGTATTACTCCATTTATCAATTTAAGCATTTATTTACTTATTTCTGTATTTATTTATTGATTCGTACTTGAGTCGTTCTCTGCGTTAACACCGGGGGTTCGATCCCTGAACTAAAATCAGCACACGAATATTAGACGTTAGAGCGTGTTGCTGATGGAAAGGTCGAGGGTTCGATCCCCGTATGAAGCAACTCTCTCACAGCGCTCCTAACGATGATGATGAAGAAGAAGATGATGAAGAGCAGTACCTGGTCCGATCGGTGCAGCGGATCTTGCAGCCGTGTTTAGGAACCACGAGGCCGAGATGCATCCTCAGTCTGCAGTTAGTGGGTCCAGTATGAGGCCACACATGAGTACCAGGGTGCATCACGGAGAACTTGATCTACAGACACACACACACACAGACACACACACACACACACAGACACACGTATTAAACAGATTAAAACACTCCGATTATTTCTTGTTTTTACAAAAAATAATCAGATCAGTTATTTTAAGACGTTTCCTGATTCAGAGTAAAAACACAGACAAGGAGAGGAGACAAGGAGAGGAGACAAGGAAATGACTTTCCACTTCTTCAAACGTAATTTACCGAAAAAAAACGGTTGACCTATATAATATCTATATACAATACCTGATTGTGTATATCTGTGTGTACCTGTATGTGTGTGTGTGTGCATGTACCTGTGTGTGTGTGTGTGTGTGTGTGTGCGTGTACCTGTGTGTGTGTGTGTATGTGTGTGTGCGTGTACCTGTGTGTGTGTGTGTGTGTGTGTGTGTGTGTGTGTGTGTGTGTGTGTGTGTGTGTGTGTGTGTGTGTGTGTGTGTGTGTGTGTGTGTGTGTGTGTGTGTGTGTGTGTGTGTGTGTGTGTGTGTGTGTGTGTGT